TGTACTTTTACTGAGGCCATGTACACAGTATACTGTGTATTCTGCTTTAATCACTGAGCCTTCAATAGCTGGGAGTGCCTCTTCCAAAGTGTGATGAGGAGGATTGTTATAATTAATCATGTGGTACCAGCAGCAGGTACTTTTCAGGGTTCCCAACATTTCATGGAGACCAAATACCCAGACCGAGTCCGGTTCAGAGCTGACAGGAAGTACTGCAGCCTACGGTGGTTGCATATGTCAATCACTCCTAATAATTAATTATATACTGTGAAACATCTGATAATAAAAGCCCATCAGTAAGTCCACATGTACACTGAAGGAGCAGAACTTGGACCCACTAGCATGTTTACATGGATACGTAATCGGATTAAACGGCCATTCAGAATAAAAAGGCGTGATGTAAACGCACCATTCAGATTATTCTTTGTTGATTCGGCTCGACTCGAAAGAATCTGTAATCAGAATGAGACGGGTGGTTTATGCTGATTCATAATCCGAACGGTGTGCATGTAAACACTTAATCTGTTCATTTTTTCAGATCGTGGAAAACTGACCTGACTGCGCATGTGCGACCTGTCAACATCTAGATGTTAATATGTCGGGGAATCAAAACTGGTCGTTGAGCGACAACATTTCTACTGGAAACTTGGACAGAGCTCAAAATGACCTGCATGACCTGCAGCTCAGTCAGGGAGCGCAGCAACGTCTCCACCGTCATTAAAACCTGCCGCGGGTCCATTTTGGGCGCTCAGCTTTGTTTACGTTCATCCCGGAAGTAGAACTTCTTCTTCTTCTGTGTTTTTTTTTAAAGGAAAATATACCACTCTGTTCAGAATAAAACCCCGCTGCATGTAAACACTGGTCGTGAACGGATCGTGCCCATGTAAACAATACATTTGAATAATTTAATCTGAAGACATTTCAGTCCGGTCAAAGAATGTTACGCATGTAAACATAGCTACTGACACCAGAACAGGAGCATTAGCACACGAACACGTTGAAGCCTCAGAAAGACCGGCTGTGATCAGCTGATCAGTGCTCAGAGCTTGACCGGTCTGGATCCAGGTTTCCCCGTTTACCACAAACCACTGTTCAGTCAGAAACCATGGGGGGACATTCAGAGCTGAAAACCAGCGCGTCGTTACGTCTCACTGTTTAAGACTAGTTAAACGAGTTAACCCTGATCACCTGAGCAGCTTAAAGCTAAAAAAGAAAATGTGTTTTCTGTTTCGTAGAAGAGTCTCCGCTGAGTCAGACCCTGCCGCCTGGATTTCCTGCTCCGTTTCTGTTTGCTGACGGCCTGTCGTCAGTGGAGACGCTGCTCACCAACATCCAGGTACGACTCTGAGGACTTGAGTTCATCACTAAAAACACTTAACCATCATTTTACAGGACAGGTGTCCATGTAGAAGTCAGGTAGAAACAAAGCGCGGCCACTTAGCTCCTCCTACGTCCGTCCATACGGACATTTTGGTCATGTATGTTGCAGGTATGTTTAGAGCTTTGTTTGTCTGTGCAGGGCCTGTTGAAGGTGGCGGTGGAGAACGCCCGAGTGCAGGACAAGCAGATCCAGGCGGAGAAGAGAGAGCTGAAGATGGAGCTGTACAGAGAGCGAGAGATGAGGGAGAGTCTGGAGCGGCAGCTGAACTCTGAGCTGCAGAGCAGAGGTCAGATTAAATTAATAAATAATTCCAGCTTCACGGTCACACGTTCTCACGGACTCAAACTGAATCACCTCCGTCTTCAGCTTCCATCCAGAAGCGGCTGAAGAAAGAGAAGAAGGCCAAGAGGAAGCTGCAGGAGGCGCTGGAGTTCGAGTCGAAGAGGCGGGAGAGGGTGGAGGACGCCCTGAAACACTCGTCCTCGTCCTCCCCTGAGCCGCTGCACCCCAACAACAACACTAAGAATGGTAAACACCAAACATCTGCCAGGCACTTCCTGCTTTTCTTTCTGATGCTTCGCTCGATTAAACCGACGCTGCTGCTGTTTTCTGTCCTTCCATAAAACTCAGAGTGATCCCAGGCAGCAGTAAATGTGCAGTTAATCTGAGCGGCTCTGCAGGCGGAGGACGATAGGTGCAGCTTACAGAACCAATACTGGACTCGGCTGTAGCTTTAGATCCACTGCGTGTGCTGTACTGGTAAAGGCTGCGACTGGATTCCTGTTCATGGATATTTTCTCTTCATAAAGTCTCAGAACTCTGTTTCTGCTTCATCTGTAGAGACCAACTCAACTTGTTTTCACCTAAGGACGTTCAGGATGTTGATCCGGTTCTGTAGGGCTCGTTTGTTCTGGGTACAGTGACCTCTCCATCCATCCTCTTCCACTTATTCTGAAGTTGGGTCTCGGGGGCAGCATCTTGAGCAGGGCGGTCCAAACATCTATCCACAGCCACCTCTTCCAGCTCTTCTGGGAGAACCCTAAGGTGTTCCCAGACCGACAAAGAGGCGTATTCTCTCCAGCGTGTCCTGGGTCCTCCCAGTCAGACATGCCCGAAGCACCTCCCTAGGGAGGCACCCAGGGAGCATCCTTACCAGATGCCCGAACCACCTCAACTGGCTCCTCCTAGATGTGGAGGAGCAGTGGTTCTACTCTGAGTCTCTCCTGATAACTGAACTTCTCCCCCTGTCTCTAAGGGAGAGTCCAGCTACCCTGCAGAGGAAACTCATTTCAACCTCCTGGATCCACGATCTCATTCTTTCAGTCTCTACTCAGAGTTCATGACCAGAGATGAGGGGAGGAACGTAGACTGACCAGTAAACAGAGAACTTTGCCTTGCACCTCAGCTCCTTCTTCACCACAATGGACCAGCACAGAGTCCGCAATACTGCAGACGCTGCACCAATCCGTCTATCAATCTCACGCTCCATTCTTCCCTCACTCGTGAACAAAACCCTGAGATACTTGAACTCCTACACTTGAGGCAGAACCTCAACCTGAAGGGAACAATCCACCCTTTTCCAACTGAGGACCACGGCCTCAGATTTGGAAGTGATGATTCTCATCCCAGCCGCTTCACACTCGGCTGCGAGCCGCTCCAGTGAGAGCTGGAGATCACGGCACAATGACACCAACAGGACCACATCATCTGCAAAGAGCAGACATGAAATCTGAGGCCAGCAAACCGGACTCCCTCTGCCCCCTGGCTGCACCGAGAACAGAATCTGTGACAACAGGCGGCCCTGGTGGTCCAATTCCCACCCCGAAGGGGTCCGACTTACTGCCAGCAATGAGAACCAAACTCTTGCACCGCTTGTATAGGGGACTTTGGGAAAAAAAAAAAAGAAGGTAGTTTTCATAAAAAATAAGAAAATGATTTTCTCCAAAGTTTAGTAAGGGTTCACATCTACGAGACTAATGTTCCTTATAATCTGATTAATCTGAGCAGCAGGGTCGTTTTCCAACATACAGTCATTAAGACGTTCCTTTTTTGTGTTTGGATTCTGTTTTCTGTTCATTGTTGACCTGCACACAGTCACAAGCTGCTGGTTGTTGTTGTTGTTTTCATTACTTTTTATTGGCCGACCCACTGGGACCCTGTCTTGTCTTTGTGTTTAATACCAGACGCTGTTGTAGCCGAAGACAAACCTGAGCTTAATGGAAACCAGCAAGACAACGGCGCTGTACAAGGTACTTGAAAACACAACTAAACACCCTCACATGTCACGTATTAACAGATACAAAACTGTACAGACGAATGTTCAAAGGCCAGCCTTTAGACGCACACACATGGTTGGCACATGTGTGTTGGGGCCCCGGTTATATTAGTGGAGACGTTAGGCAGACATCGTGGCCTCCCTTTGATGTGGGCCTCAGCACACACACATGTGATGTGTTTGCTAATGGTTCATTGGGATTTGTGTTTTAGAAGGTGTGTTTATGTGCATCTTAGTTATGAGAGCAGGCGGAAACACGACTAGGCAGCACTTTGAAGGTAAACAAGGATTTTAAAAAGTCACCGGATCTATCCATCGTATGGTTCCTGAGGTGGGAGCTGTTTGTTCCTCGGGTTAGGGTTTAGCCCTTTTCTCATACTGATTTATACTTAAGGGGATAAAACTTACCGGTTATCATAATTAGAGCCTGACAGATATGTAAATTTTGGCTATCAACGATACCGATATTAGGAGGGGAAGGCAACCGCCGATAACGGATAATAGTGTCTGAAAAAAATCTGAGCTTTATTCACCCCCAAGAATCTAAGTAAACAGCGAGTGAAGCGGGACTTGTTTACTTAGCTTTGCTGTTAGCAACCATGAAGCTACGCTAATCAGATCCACATCATACTTAGTCCCACACAAGTGGTGCACTGGTCATAAAACCAGTCTTCCTAACGTGCGTTCACATTTTCTGTCCTCCACTATTCACCATAAAGTTATCAAGTGTGCTACAAAAATATAAATTAAACAAAGAAACGTTCTTCCTGTTAAACAGTCAGTCATGAATGGTGACGGTCTGATTAATATCGACCACAGCAGAGTTTTATTTTCTTTGCAGAGAAGTAAAAATTTCAGGCAAACTATACATTTCATTGACGACAAAGATAACGTTAACAACGCTCAATATATTTTACCGCTACATTAGATTTATTGTTCTGGAGAAAGTTTACAAGGCTATCGCCTATGCTAGGTTAGCTAAACGTTAGCTTGCTAACTTGAGAGGCACATAGCTAATGGCAGGTTGGAGGACTGAAGACAATTTATTATTGTTTTTATTTTATTTTACAGATCAGTTAAAATAAACTTCCCATGCTCTGTTCAGCAAAATACGCTACAAGTTAATGCTCGCTGCTTCATCGGTGCTGAAAGTGCAAGACCATGACTTGAAAGTAGTCTTCTTGCACCCTCTGTTGGATGCATTGTACATTTATGTCTTTTACCTATAAGGACACGGTTTGTTCCCCAGTGTTTATGTCGGCGCACAGTGGACAAATTATCACCGATACCGATATGTTCCGAAATGGCTACATCGGCCTAAAATATCGGCCTTACCGATATATCGGTCGGGCTCTAATCACAATTACTGTGGTAAAATCTGATGGTTAGTATTACGTGTTGAGATGACCGTAAGACGAGAGGTACAATACCTCCAGAGATTTCAGAGTCTGCAGTGTCGTTGGATTTTAGATAATATGGTAGTTTTGAGGAAAGGCTCTTGTAAGATGGTTTTTCTGAAAGGAAGTGGATGTGATGAGAGAAGCGTGGCACTAACGAGTCATCTGTGTGACCATTTGCCATACTTGCAACACAGAAAGTGTCCACGTTAACTTCTTTACGAGTGATGGACAGAGCTGGGCCTCAGGTGAAGAGTCAGGATGAGAAGTAAAGACCAGGAGGACCTGGACAGTTCTGAATCCATTTGGTCAACTTTGATCTGTGCTGCCATCTTAAGAGTCAGCAGAGGAGCTTCTGCACAATGTTATTTGTCCTAATGGAGTTACCGTAGCTTAACGTATGATAGTTGTGTAACATAACTTCAGTAATGACTGTTTAATATTTGCATCACAGCCTCTGAATCATAATTAAATTGAAAATAAGAGCTCCATCATCAGGGGAGCTCAGCGTAGAGCAGCTGCTCCACAAAGTTCTTTCAGGTGGTGCAGGATTCTGGTTCGGTTGTCACCTGAACATGATTAGAGGACAGATCCACAGCCTACTATAGGGATTAAATTATAGGGATTAAATTATGTATCCGCTCTGGTCTGAGATCATGTTGGGATCCTCAGGAGGAGCTGAAGACTGCAGCTAGGAGCAGAGATGTCTGAATATCCTTCCTGGACCTCTGCAGTTTTATTACGGACAAATGGAAACGGATTAAAGTAATGTGGTCGTCAAACTCTACCTTTGATCATGTTGGGTTTTTGAGTATTTCTGTCATTTTTACTGAAAGTCATTGGTTGGTCTCATCAGATGATTAGATTGGATCGTGATAGACACAAATGATAGCATTAATATGATGTTACAAAATAATGTCACGCTGCTGAGGAGCAGCTGAAGAGTTAACACCTGCACGTAAAGAATCTGACGCGTCTTTAGATTATTCTGAGCTCTATCGGAGACCAAGAATCAGAGTTCAAATAACGTTTCAATAAACAAAGACCAGGGAGTCCCCCCTTGATGTCACTTCCTGTTTCACTTCGGCTGCACCAACTTGTGCCAGTGATGTGACAACATGGCTAAAATCCTCCAACTTTCATAAATATCCATTTGTTTCGTCTTCTTTTGTGTTTACAGTGATCGCCCGTCACAGACGTCTGATCAGACCTCTGTCTGTATGACAGCGGGGGGGCTGAGAGAAAGTCCAGATGAAGTTCTAGTATATCATTATGCCAATGAGAGTCCTCACTAGTACAGTGTGTGTGCGCGTGCACGTGTTAGTATGCAAGTGTCGTCTTCCTTCCACCAGCTGTGCTCAGTCCGCCCTGACATTGAAAACCTTTGCCTGAAACTGCGAGTGTACAAGTGAATATCTACACACACTGTGTGCGTGTGCGTGCGCGCGTGTGTGTTCTCTGTACCCGTACTTGTGCATTCGTGTGTGTGTATGTGTTTGATCCACATACTTGTGAGACAGGGAACTCTAATTAGCTCTCACTCGTCTTTAGACCCCTTTTAGATCCCCTCTCTTCTGCAAGCCAAGCACTCACACACACACACGCTGGGTGAGTGGGGTCCTTCATGATGCACACACACACACACACCTGATTTCATTAATGTTGATTGGCCCAGTAGGACCCCTTTGCTGCCTCACTCACATCCACACAAACACACTCATCCCTCCTGCTATAAAAGCATTTTGCACCTACAGTGTTTTACCTTCACACACACACACACACACACACACACACACACACACACACACACACACACACACACACACACACACACTCCCCTGCTTCTCACCTTCTACGCTCTTAATTAACGAGTGAAGAGAAAACTGCTGAATTCAAAGAAAGACGTGGCTTTACAATCAAAAAGAAGGGAGAGAGAAAAAGACGACAAGCACCGGAGAGAGTGAGACGAGTGGAGAGGAGGAAGGAAAAGATTTTAACTGGCCGCAAGGAAAAGAAAGAAAAACACGCAGAAGAGAGGGAATTGTTTCAGGAAGAAGTGAGGGGCACAGAAAAGCAATTTGTTTAAAGAAAATAAAGATGGAGGGACCCAGAGCTACAACTGTGTGTGTGTGTGTGTGTGTGGGGGGGGGGGGGTTAGAAAACATCCTGTTGCATTTCAAGATCACCCTCATCCACTACCACCACGAAGAAGGAACTCAGCTAAATGTTAGCACCAGTATAGCTGTCGGCTGACACGAGCTAAACTTTAGCTCTATATCTTATAGCCGTTTTTGTGTTTGCTAAGCTAGCTGCAGCAGCCATTTTAAATGGATTCATTAATTTGGGCCCATCCAGTGAATGAGGAACAACTTGATTACTTTGACAAAGTTTCTATTATTTTACACGATACTTCAAAAAATTACAGTTTTACCAGATTTGACGCATCGTCCGTGCAATCTTTGAGGTTTTTGGCGAATTACATCACCCCACGGTAGTTCCAAACGATAAAAAAGTAATAGCACATATCTTGAAACGCATGTTTTTGATGTATATTTTGTGTTAGCGCGCTCTTCTGTTTGAGCCGCGTTAAAATAAAAATCGTTTCTTTACTAATTAATTCATGTGGAGATGGAAAATAAAAGTTTCTGCCATAGAGAAGCATGAACTGCATTACGTTCTATGATTTCTTATGACAGGCCCAAATATTTACAAATGAGGTGATAAATAACTTATAGAAGAAAGATATTATAAATATTGACAAAAAATGAAGGTGGGTTTGATGAAAAAAAAAAAAAAGCCAATGAAAATAAAAACAGAACCCGTGTGTAAATAGATTAACACACGGAGAAAACGTGAGGCTGTTAATGAAAGAACAGAAGAGGATGAAGTAGCAGGTGGAGGAGGTGGAGGAGGTGGAGGAGTGCGTAGATTTCCTGAGACGGGGCTGAAAAATGTGACCTTGTTCCAGAACCTGGTGACATTTTGTCCCCCCTGCTGATAGACTTCTAACAAGGCTGGTTGAACACACGCACGCACGTAAGCAAAACATGGCTGCCAGGAAAGAAATCACACCAAGCAGTCACGCTAAAAGTAGCGAATTGGAATAATAATAATAATAATAATAACTAGAAAGTTCCTGAATAAACTTTGACGGGGACTGCCTATGTATTATAAAATTATTAATAATAATCAATATTAATAATAAAACTAATTATTAATATTTTTATTATATTTATTAATTATTTATCAAAACATATTTATTAATTATTAAAATATTAATAATCAATATTAACAATATTCACACCAATAATTAGTATTAATATTAAATATTACTTATTAATATTAACAATTATTGAAATTAAAATAGATCATTATTAACATTAATAAATTATAATTAATATTTAATATAAATATTACTAATTAATAATAATAATGGGTAATAATAGGTGCCTTCCTTGCATGTTGAACCAAAATGGCTCCATATGTTACTCAGTTTCTGTGAAGAGTTTTCTTCTATTCATTTCCTATGGGAAATCTGGCATCTTTGTTAGCAAAATATGTCACCATGGTAACTCGAAATGCCAATAAAAGTAGTAGCACACATCACGGGGCCGAGCCAGTCATTTTGAAATAACTTTTGTGGGGGTAGACGCT